CTGTCCTCACCCATTCTGCACACTTTGACCCCTTCAAAGTGGGAAAAAAAGAAAAAAATAGTTTAACTTGCTGATAAAACTGTTTTTGGTTTATTACCCACTCAGGGCTACAGCAAAGTTCAAGGAGATCAGAAAAATAAATAAATAAATAAAGCTTTTTGTCTGCAAAACACTTTCCCCCATTAGAGTGAGATAGAGTGAGGGCAGTTCAACTAGTCAGAGTCATCCAGACCTAAAGAACGGGGGTGAACCATCAAGGCCACCACCCCAAACAGCTTTACGACTCTTAAGGAACACGGTCAGGGTGGACTCCTGATGAAAGCAGGAGCTGGGCCCGTCTTCACCACGTGACTCTGCCAGATGTGAGCACCATCCTCGCAGACTCCTCAGCCTCCATTCTGCAAGGAATCAATCTGTTCTTGACAAATGGTGATGTCTCAGGCATTCAGTGATAGAAGCAGAAAATGGGCCAAGGCAGGGGCCAGCTCTGCTCCCTGGTTTCATAGACATTGAGAACTGAGCCTGCCAAGGTATGGCTCAGAGCATCCTGAAGGTGCCCACACATGCACCCTCACCACACCATGCCCCTGCCTCTGTGGAATCCACCAGGAGAGCCAGCCTCATCCTCCCCATCATGCGACTGAGCCGGAGGCCAGTGGGGCCTGAACAGCTTCAGGGCAAACAGTTGTCCACCTACCAGTCTCCCTGCTCCTCGAGGGCAGGCCATCTCCTGGAGGCTCTGAGAGCCTGGCCCAGTCTGTCCAGCGTGGGCAGTGGTCATCCTCTCAAATGCCGAACTTTAGATCACGGAATCAGGAGGAAAAATGAAACTATAGGAAGGTTGTCTCCCAGGTCAAAGTCTTTGGGCGCTTGGCTACCTATCGATATGGGCCAAGGAACAAACTCAATTCACAAGGAAAAGAAATAAGAGGTGAGGAGAGGCTTGGCATGTTCTGGAAGATTGATTTGTAACATTTGAATTATTTGTATTTCTGAATAAGGCAAATTTAGACTTTTCAGTAATACTTGTTTCTTCACATTTTTATTGGTGCATTATAGTTGTACATGGGATTTCTTTCCTATTTGTACATGCACACAATATAATTCAATCTGGGGTAAGCTCGTTACAAAGTAATGTCTTTATGTTTATATAAAATATGTATTAATTTTGTTGCAAACCATATATAACATGAATCAGATCTTACAGACAAATGAATGTTGAAAATCTGTCTTCTTCTTACCCTTCCTTACTTTTAGTTCCCTGTTAAAAAACAAGCATCCTCTGTCTCCCCAAACATCATAATGAGTTTATCCATGCGTTTCCCTGTTACCTTTAGGCCATTACTGCACCTTCTGTAGACCCTTACAGCTGAGGTGTCTTTATTCACCTGTCCTGCTCCCACAGTGAGTGAGAAGGTTGCTTTCAGGTACCCACCCCTTCCTTGACTCCTTCCTGTAAGATGCCAGCGTCACTTCTGATCAGCACACTGGTGCCCTGCTCCAGAAAGTAGACACACCTGAGCTTCGAACATCTCATCTCTCCTCCTGTTCTTCCCCTTCTTATCCCCCTCGAACCTCTCTCAGTCACCTCTTTACCTACAACACAGTGGTAAGGTTATTATAGTTTGCACATGAATTTGCAAATCTACCCTAGACTTCATGCTTTTCTCCTGGGTTGACTTTCTTGATCAGAAACCCAGTGAACATTCACCTGCAAGAAGCTGCTGTCTGTCGATGGGCAAGGTTGAAGTGAAACTAAGGGTGTGACACCTCCACCAATGGCACTTATTCATTTCAAGCTCTGAACTATTCCTTGACACATTGACTGGACTCAAAGCTGTAATTTAGGAAGGTCTCCATCACTAGCTGCAACCAGTGCTTCATTATGCTGCCACGTGAAAGGTTATTTTCATCTGCTATCTCTTCCTTGGGTTTTTGAGCCACATGGTAATTTGGCATATGCATTTGGAGGAAGTGTTGTATTTTTAACAGCTGCTCCTAGATGTTCTGTAGTAGGTATGGATCCCAGACAATGAGCTCAGTTGTGGAAGAAATGGAAACTTCCTTATTTATATCAGACTCTATAGCTTAAGTTATCTTTCAGTTTTTATTGTTCAGAATGTTTGAGGAAATCTCCATGAACTTCATATCAATTTTCAAATGGATCATGTCTCAGATGCAGGGCAGAGGGTGTGGGGGCCGTCACCATCATGGTATAGTTCTTGGAGAAACTCGTTACCTTCTCCAATTAGTGTGATGGTTGTTACTTACACTTGTCTTCTAGCCCCGAGGCTCCCCTTTCCAAATCTCTGCTTTTCTTTCTCCACTCCTCTTAGGGAGAGAGAGGCCAGTGTATATTCGGAGAACATTTTGACCAACTAGGTACAAGTGAAGACTGAGCCATCTGGCCTAGAAATTCTCTGGTATCAATTCCTGAGGGGAAGAAATTTTTTACCATAGTTGTGCCATGCTTCCTGTGTACCCCACGAATTCAGAATTTATGGTAATTTTATGATGATTACATCCTTGTTTAATTGTAGAAGTCAGGTTAAGCTAGTTTATAGTGCAGTAACAAATATCTCCATCCTGATCTCAAAAATTTGTTACATCTTATCATGCCCCATACCTTTTGCAGGATCAGCCACTGTCCTGAAGATTGCTCCTCACATGGGAGTCCAAGTTCTCAGAAGGATCTTTAGTTCGCAGCTAGAGCTTTGCTCAGAGATAATGGACGTCACTTTCACCTGGACAGATATTCATAGGATGCACACAACCTCAAGGGGACAGAATTTGCCATTGTCCCATGAGCCTGGGCGATAGACACAGGGACCTTTTGGTGACCCACTCCTGTGTCTGTGGAGCTGCCACTAGATAATGGTGAAAAGAGAGTAAGAAGAGGAGTGAGGGAGAGTGTGGGCCACAGGCATTCTGGGTCCCAGCAATACCCTGTGACACGAGCTTGCTCGGTGATCAACAGTATTCTCAAGAAAATCTGCCCAAGAAAGTTCACAAAAATCATGAGTGCAAATTTCATTTTGTGAAAATTGAAAAAGTAGTTTAATGCATCCTACTGGCTGGTTTGGACACACAGGCTGCTGGCACCTGGGGACTCCTGCTTCTCCATGGGGACTGGCTTTGCTCCTTGAGGTGCCTGCTTCTTTCATTAAGCTGTATAAGTGTGCTCCTGGGGGACAGGACAATGCACTATCCTCTGCCCACTCACCGGCCTCCACAGGTGCCTGCACTGACCCTGGCCGACCACAGGTGTTGCTGGTATCAGCAGGTTAGGAAGCCAACTCAGAAGGGACCTTTCCCAGGGGAGACTCAAGCCACACACACCTATGTCTACGGGTGATGCTGGAATTCATCCCCCTGAACTCTTCCCTTACATAGATAGGCAACATGCTCAGATGCAAATAGGTCAGAGGACACCGTGCTTGTCACACACATCTGTGGGCTCTCTTCCCTGTGGGCCAAGACATCAGTGGAAATGGTGCCGGTGAACAGGCTGCAGAACTCCCCAGACTCGGCCCCCTGGCACGGGCAGAGTGGAAGGAAGCACAAGGAATATTGAAGGGTTTTGAGGATGATTGAAGAGACCCATGGGGGGCTCCTCAGCTTACAAGGGGGTCGTGTCCTGATAACCCTCATAAAGTACCGCACATCGAACCTGCATTCAACACCCAAAGAACCAATAGTCTCCTTTCTCTCTGTGTAAATTCTCAAACTTTGGACATTTAATGTAATTGGAATTATATGCCACGTGGTGTTTTGTGCCCAGCTTCTTTCACTAGGTGTGATTTTCTCAAAGTTTGTCTACAATGTAGCACGTGTCAGAATTCCATAGAATATGTTGTCATAGAATATTCCAGTTTTTGGATATACCACATTTATAGAGTCTTTACCACTTGAAGGGTGTTTGGGTTATTTCTGCTCTTTGACTACTAGGAGTGATGCTGTTACAAAGAGCCAAACGCCCCCAACCAGTTGTTAATTTAGTCTCTCAGGAGCTTCCCAAGTCTTCTATCCAGGCTGCACCTGAAGCTAGAGAAGGAGGCAGGGAGTGGTGGGGATGTGGCTCCATGGTAGAGTGCTTGTCTAGCATTCGAGAGGCCCTGGGTTCAATCCCCAGCATGGCAACAAAAGAAAAAAGAAAAATGATTCTAGAGAACATGGGAGGGAGAGTGAGACAGAAAAAAAAAGATTGAGTCAGATGAGCTAAAGAGAAATCCCTTAGTAAATGCTACCAGGCAGCATGATGCAGTTACATCGCAGACTCAGGGAGGTTCACTGCTGAAAAATCAAAGTGCAATACCCCATATGCTTAGTGACTCTTTGAGCCCCATAATTCAGAGCTGAGATTATACTCTTTTCCTTTAGTGAGTGTTTCATGGTCAATTTGTTATCAGTAGGGGAATGAGACCCCAGTCTGGGAGCTTTGGTGACATTACAGAGCCTGGCTGCTTCCAGTAAAAATGCAGAGAACAAAGAAGGAATTTTAACCACTTATGAAAATAAGCCCAGCTGGTTTCAGGAACCCCAGACCAAGACTGTGACTTGCAGATAAACTCTCAGGCCAGTGAGGGTAGCAGTCAAGAGGGAAAAAGGCCAGAGAGGTCCTCAAGCCAGGGGCCAGAGAGGAGCATCTCCATGATAGAGTTTGAAAGCGGTAAGAAGGTGGACTTGGGGCTAAATTGGGAGTCATGTATTTTTAAATCTCTTAATTGGCAAGTGAATATGAATACTTAAGTTCAAATTTAATTTTCAGTAGAGACTTGTGTTTGAGATACAGTAAAGACAAACCCAAAGCAACAATATTATGATCCTCAATAAATTTAAACTCCCCAGACCTTAAGTGAAAGTGAACTTAAGTGAAAGGTCTGCCCCCAATAACCCACCTCTTCCAGCCACATCCCTCATGTCTATAGTCACCACCTAGTTAATCCCCATCTGCAGATTAGCGTGCTGATTAGGTTCAGACTCTCTTAACTCAATCATCTCAATTCTAAACTTTCTTGCATTGCCTCACCCGTGAGCTTTTGGGGGACACCTCACAACTGAACCTTAACAGCACTTGCGATGGTTCCAGGTAGGGGCTCTGTCCAGTCTGAGGAGGGCCTCAGCTTATGTGGAGCCCAATACAAAACACAGGTGCAGTCAGGCCACCCCCACCCATGCTCCAGCCTCCTCTTCTGCAGATGGAGGAGGTGATGCCGCCTAGCTCAAACCCCGCCATGCAGTGCAGAGGTCTTCTCAGCCCCTGGGCTCTTCCTGGAACACTGACCATCCTGTCTTGTATGAATGGCGTTTTTGCATCTGTCCCATCTATCCTCTGTTTCCCAGCATTCTAAAGTCAGCATCTGTCTTGGTGAAGTGAAACTTGGGCCTGGGATAAAGACTTAGGCAGAGGTAATTTAGCTTGGGGGGTGGTCCAGGCCAGAGGGAAGGTCTCTGCTGTGGGGGCTTGCTGCTTGCAGGGCCTCTGGGCATCCCAGGAGGCAGGACAAGAGACCGGATCCTTGTGAGGCTGCTCCACCCTGCTACGTGGGGAAGGGTCGCACGTGGAGCGTTCTCACTCACACACCTGAGCTCTACACTAAGCAGGAACTGAAGGTGTTCCCCACCTGTGGCAAAGCCCTGAGGTGAAGAATGAAGGGTGGTAGTAGCCATGAGACATGAGATGAGGACCACTTGAGTCTCATGGCACCCAACCTGCCATGCAGCTGGAACTGAAATCAGAAGTGTGCTGAGGGGGTGCAAGGGTCCTGGAGTGTGAGCACGGCTCCTGTTCACGTTCCTCACCATAAGCCTATTTTGTTTCATAACCTTCTCAGATTTTGGCACTAGAGTGACAGTACATAGTTGGCAGAATTTAATTTCATCTATCAAAATGAAAAAGTCATCTGCAAACTGAATCTTAGAATAATCCCTTTGACTCTATTTTGTTTGATGTGTTTGCAAGTGACACAGAAAACCTGGCTCAAAATGGCTTAGGCTTATTGACTTACGAAGCCCTCCGGTGGAATAATTGGCTTCAGGAAAGGCAAGATCAAGAAGCAATGCCTGGGGACCCCTTGGTCTGCACATGGGGCAGAGTGGCTGTCAGCACCCCCAGTGGTTTGGCGGGGTGCTTTTCTCCCACAAAAGACCACAGAGCTGGGCCTCCCTGACTCTGTGGTGCCATGCTCATCCCTGAAGTGGGCATCATAATGATGGAATAAGGAGCTTTGATTCTCTTGGCCTGGGTCACTTGCCTGTCTCTGGAGGACATGCAAGCCATTGTTTCCAGGGACAAGGGGAATGGATGTTGGTGTCAATGACATAGAAATTCACTGTTATCCACAGATACTCAGAACGAGTGCCTTGATGTGAGTTTAGATCACAAGTTGAGGAGTGTGGCCATTTGGGGTCTAAATTGTGCCTTCCTGGGTCCACCTGCAACTTTGCTCATTTCTCACTGCCCAAGGCACTCCAGCAAGCAGCGTGACTCAGCCCCCATTTGTGAAGACAGGGACACGAAGTTCACCTGGGAGAGCAGGTAGTAGAGCAAGCACGGCGTGGCAAGCTGTGTGTTGGGTACGTGGTGTCCACTGTCTCTCCCTTGCCTTCTCTCTTGGGGATATCTTGGATCCTCATCTGGGAAAAGGAAGCCAAATGATCCACTGCTGGATCTGATGATTGCTCCTGCCACCGCCCCCCTGCCCCAGTCACCCACACAGGTGACGAGGGACCTGTGGACCAACGAACCTGTGACCCAGGAAACCAATGTCATCCTGCTAGTCAGATGCTCTCGCTCCGTGGTGATAGGGTAGCTGGTCAGCAGGACATGTTCACAGCAGGGCCAGTGTCCTGGGCATTTGCTCTCTGAGGATGCGGGGGCGCCTGTCATGCTGCTGCTCAGTGCCTGGCTTGCTGCTGGAATAGGTAAATCAGATCGATTGCTCTTCTGTGTGTTTCTTCCTTTCAAGCTATTTGTACTTTTTCACCTTCAAAGACACACAATCAATCAAACATGAGTGATTGCTGCAGCAGGGATCGACCATTTGTTTTTTAAACATTGAAGGTTTGGAGGAATCTGCGCAGGGCTTTGTAGTAATGGGTTGAGAAGGACTACCACCCCCAGAGTCGTTTTCCTACGGGCCTCTAAGATCTCTGTGCCTGTGTTGAGGATTCAGCCCGCATTTGTACTCACTAAGGATTTTCTTTAATGTTCCTAGAAGAATGAAACCGCAGTTTAAATCATTTTTAAAACACCTGTTTGGGGGCAGGCCCTGTGTGTGGGAAACTGGGAAGGGGAGCAGTTCTAGGCTGTTTCTTCCCCATAATGGAACTCACTGGAGAGCTAAGGATAGGGATCTAAAGTGCTTATTTGAAAGTAAGTTTAAGGAAATTGTGATGCAAGCATCCTATCACACGGGCTGCTTTGAGGATGTGTCCCTGGGACACCTGGTCTGTGGAAATTGTGTGTCTCTGTATTATAGTAAGAAAACTAAAGTGTGCCCAAGGGTGAAGACACATAATCACCCCAAAGCAAAACGGGAAGCTCCAGCAGTCCTGGGCTGCCCGCGGCTCCACGCTGCAGTAGGAGACCTTGATCACATATTCCTGATTTCCTTGGCTGGTTTCCTACTGACTGGAAATGGCTCAATGGCTTCAAGCCTCACATCCTTTCATGAAAGCAGGAAGAGGAGGGAAGACAAAGGGACCTCCACCCACCTCTGACCTCTCCCTTCTCATGGAACTCCCTGGAAGCTGCCCACAATTCTCTCATGGATCATTGACAGATCAGGTACATTGACTCCCCCAGACCAAGCATGGCAGACACCATCGCAATTAGCCTAAAGAGTGAGACCAAATGCAATTCATATTTGCAGCTTAGGGACAGAGGTATCTTCTTTGGGCACCTGAATAATGTTAGGGTGCTGTTTGCATTGGAAAATGAAATAAGTACTACATAAGGGATCCTTGTTATTTCATTACAATGTTGTCATATGGCCCCCAACTTCATTAGGGGGAGTTCCAGAGCCTCCCTCCTGCCTCTTCCTCCTACATCAAATTGCTCAACAACTTTGTTTAATAGAGTCCAAGAGCAATCTGTTTCCCTTTAAATACTAAGAAGGAAAGAAAGGGCCTCCCATCAGTCTCCTGCTGCCATTGCTCCATGCTGACCCCAGTGTCACTGTCCAAGTGTGGCCCATGCAGATCTGCAGCTGCAATGCTCTGTGGCTGCAGGACCCCTGCTGAGCATGAGGTTAGACTGTTTTGTGGTTCTTGTCTAGATATTGCTTGAGCTAGATGCCGCCTGGTCCCCTGCACCAGCCATGGGAAAGCAACCTCCCTGTGGCCTGGGGTTGAGCTCAGTTGTCATCCTTGACCTAATCTTTTCACAGATTCCTTTATTTTATGAAATTAATTGTCCTTGCCTCTTCCTTGACCTTGACTTTCTGGTCCTTCTTTTTCTGTCTGCTCTGAACTCCAAATCTGAGGGGTCAGGACCCAGGGGATTCACTTTCCCTTCCAGGAGGCATAGTTCCATTTTGCAAAATAATTCCCTCTTTCCAGCAGCCATCTTGTGCACGGTGGAGGAACAACTAATTCAGTGGAATCTAAGCACTGTCATCATAGGAACCTTCTATTTTTTTTTTTTTTTGTAG